CCCCCGGCGAAGGCCGGGCTCGAAGCCCCAGTGCCCCAGGTCGACCCCCCCCCCTGGCAACAATAACCAGCAACCCTACGAACGAAACGGCGTGGTGGACGAGGAACCGGAAGACGCTGGGGGAAAAGGACGGGGAGGGCGGAGGAGGACGGGGAGGAGGGAGTGGAGGAAGCGGAGGAGGAGGAGGAGGCGGAGGGGGAGGAGGAAGAGGAGAAAAAGGGGGCGGAGGAGGAGGAGGAGGGGGAGGAGGAGGAGGAGGAGGAGGAGGAGGAGGAGGAGGAGGTGGAGGAGGAGGAAAAGGAGGATCATCGCCATCAGCATCATCATAATGACCATGATCATAATCATCACCATCGCCACCATCGCCATCACCATCACCGGCAAATTCAGACTCACCATCATCCACATCATCATCACCAGCATTATCATTACCATCATCATGGGGCCACCACCATCAAAATCATCAGCGCCTCATCTTCATCCTCATCATAAACATCATCATCACCATCGCCACCATCGCCAGCACCATCACCAGCATCTTCACACTCATCATCATCATCAACATCATCATCGCCATCATCATCATCGCTGTCATCATCATCGCCATGTTGGAATTAAAGATGCTGGAATTCTACCCTCCTTTTCCAAGCTCCCTCTTCACAGGCCCGTGCATACGGCTCACTTCCATTGAAGGAGCCGCCTCGCTGGAAGACAACACTGTGAAGATCCTGAAGCGCGCCACAACATTGTTCTCGGGATGTCAACGCCACGTATCAACCTGACTGCGGCGTCGTGACGATCCAAAATCGGGCCAGCAAGTGACTGTTGGGACTTCATCGCACCGAATCAACATAACTGGTGCGCCCGCGAAACCCTGAATCCGTTTAAAACAACATTCCTGGTGTGCTGATCGTGGGAGTAGATGAAACCCTTACATCTGTATACCTATACGACCACCCTTCGGGTGACAAGGGAGTTCGGGGGGGAGGAACCAAAGTCTCACTCGATCGGTATCACTGTCGATCTTATCATCGATATCACTATCGGTCTCGCTCGATCGATCTCTCTCTCGATCGATCTCACAATCGACACCACTCGATCCATTTCAGTCGATCGACCCCACAATCGATATGACTATCGATCTCACAATCGACTTCACTATCGATCTCACTATCGATGACACAATGTATCGCACATCCGGTTGCACGATCGATATCGCTATCGGTATCACAAACAATTTCACAATCAACGTCATCACCATTATCGACATCATCGTCATCTACGCCATCAACATCTTCATCATCATCGGGGCACCACCATCACCATCACCCCCACGCCATCATCATGAACAGCATCATCATAATCAGCGCCATCATCATCATCATCATCATCGGGACATCACCATCGTCACCATCATCATCATAAACATCATCATCATCATCAGGACACCACCATCATCATCATCGGAACACCACCAGCATCATCATCATCATCTCGTCATTATCATCACCATCGGGACACCATCATCATCATCACCAGCAGCATCTTCATCGACATCACCAGCATCGGGACGCCATCACCATTATCATGATCACCATCATCACCGCGAATGGAACGGCGACTTCTTGGGCGCCTCCGACTTGCAGAATACAGCGGCGGACGGGTTGAAGGCCTGCGCCGCCAATCCACTCAAGCAGATCGTCGAGGAGGAGTTCGGGGGAGACGTGGCGCTGACAGCCGACGGTGAAGAGCGCGGGGCCCGGGGCAAGGCCCCACTCGGCGAGCCGCGCGAAGTCCACGATCGAAAACGGCGCCCCTACGAGAGCGAGGGCGTCGCGCATCTGGTCGATTTAGTGCCGCGTGCGCTGCTGTTCGCCAACTTGGCGATCTTGCTCGCGACGGGCGTTATCAACCGAATCCGCCGGGATGTCAGCTCGGCGCTCTGCCTGAAGAAATTGCGGCTGAAAGAGGTAACGGGCCATTTGTGCACTTCTTTTGAAAAGCCGATCTGCGCGAGCGCGGGGGGATTCGGCGGCGCCGGCAACCTGCGTCTGCAAGAATTTCTGAACGGCGGCGCCCAACTCTTCGGGGAGGCCAAGAACTCCGACTGCAGGGGTGAGGCAAGGGGTCGGATGCACATCGCCGCGGGCAGCGGGGGCTTCCAAGCGGCCGCTTCCTTGTGGGCGCTCTTGCGATGAGAAGGTGGGGAATTTGTCCACGTCGCTGGTCAGTTGCGAAGGTCGCCCAGAGTCTTGGCCCTGACGCTTTCGTGCCGGGAAGGCGGCGAACTTGTCGACGTCGGCAGCTTGATGCGATGCGCGCCGTGGTTCTTGGTCTTCGAGAAGGTCACGTTGGGCACCTTCGCCTGTGGGGCCACAGGATGCAGGGCGAGCCGAGGAATGACCACTGCGGGCAGATCGCGGCGCAACGCGGCCCAAGGAGCGTCCATAGGGGGCGGCTTCGGCACGTTTGACACCTGCCAAGGCACCGCGGGCCGCTTCAGCCCGCGGGCATTGGGCTTCCTTGCGGAAGCCTCGGTCACGATGATCTGCTTGATGCTAGCGTTGGCGTCGGCGTCCAGAAGCTTGAAACGCGGGAAGGCTGCGCGATGCCGAGCGCTCGTTGGCACTGCCACTCTCGCTGCTGTCTGCCATAGATGTGATCCGGTCGGGAAGAACAGGCTGCTGTTCAGGGAGAGGATGCGCTGCAGCCTCTCAACGACACGGGGCGATGCGCTGCCAGAGCGCGACGGCGGAGAATTCGGTGGACGGGCCAGCGGCGCCGCGGGCGACATGAAGGGCCCCGAACGGGGCTCGACGAGCGAGATGGAAAGCTCGGAGCGGGGCTCGACGACCGGATATGGACGGTTCGGAC